TGTAATGCAGCTGCCTATGTCTGGTTCAAGTACAGAAGTACTGAGTAAGGGACTAAGAGAGCATTAGTCCTTGGCTTTCACTCCCCTGGTACCTGGCTGGGAACTTCTGCGAGGAGTCAAAAAAAAAAAAAAGCTGCAAAACTGTGCAGAGCTGGAGAGTTTGTGTTTCTTCCCCTCCAAAGCTTTGGGCAGCGGGCCGGCTCTTTTCCAGTGCATCTCTGTCAGGTGATATTGCAGATAGAGAAGCAAACCAACCTTACCTTTCTTGCAACAGTAAAGCTGGCTCCTTACTTACTGGTGCCCTGTGTAAATACACCGCAGCACAAAAAGGTATTGAAACTTTTCAGTCCCATCCTTGCAATAATTTCTTTAGAAAGCCCTAGCAGCGTTTCTGATTAATACCTGCTTCTAATCTTTGAAACATTTGCTTTGTGGCAGAAGATTAATCAGAGGAAATAATCTATTCTAAAGGTCTTTGGTTTATTTTTTATTGCTGGAAGATACATATATTTAAAAGCCATTGAGGATCTCCTCCTAGGAATGTACTTATTGCCTTCATCTCTCTCCCTTTATGAACCTGCTGCATGTTGGCAAGTCCTATAGAATTATTTCCAGACTGTTTGAATGTTTTTTTCCCTTGTTCAGCTGTAGGCACAATGACAAATCAGACTTGCAGTATAAAATGTATTTTGCTGGGAAATGACCATGGTGAATTCAATGCCATGCTGGTTACTTGCTTTTACTTGTATTTCAAGGCAGAAGAGCTATATTTGATCTTGGAGGTGGAAGAGAAAACCACAGTGTGCAGGCTGGTGGCTGCCCCATCGCTAATTTATTGGCAGATTTGGCGGAAAAAACCTGCATTCTCTTTTTATTTTTTAGGCCAGATACTAGCATGAATTATGGCACTAGCTATTTCAACACAAGTCAAATGGAAAATTTAACTCCTTGGAGAGGTGTGTGTAGTGCTGAGCCATAACTAAGGCTTTTAACTGTCACACTCCTGCAAATCATAATAAAGAGTAATAGGTAAAAAGCCACTGCTCCTTTAAATCAGTGTCACCAGTGACTCAGAATATCTATTGATTTTTTTTTTATTCCTACCAATGGTTTCAATTAAGATTCAGCAGATCTACTCTGAGAAAACCCTGTATAAAACGCCTCATAATGTTTTGGTTTAATACTGCTTTTTAAATTCTGTTTAAGAAATGAGCATTGAAAAGTAGTAATATCTGTAACACATTAAAGCATTGGTCTAAAAGGCTAATATAATGCCCAATTCATAGCTTTTGTTATAAATTTTTGAGTGTGTAATTACTAGAATGTATAAATATACATTTCATCAGCTTTTTTCCAAACAACAGCTATACAAATAAAAAGTCAAATATATTCACCCAGACATACTAGTTTCTGAATACAGGAGAATTATGGCATGGTTTTGAAAAAAAAAGCCACAACCTATTTTCCCTGCAAATAGTGTCTATACCAACAAATCATCTGGACAAAATGATTACAGACTGTTTGTCTTTACCCTTTGCACTAAGCAAATTTCCGTGCTTCATCCACACATGAACCATTTGCTAATTTGGGGTGTATACCACATTTGTCAGGCCCTTTACCTGTGTTTGAGCATTTTGGGGAGGCTAACTCCAGATGTGTAGCAGCTGTTGTTCCACATAGGATTGTGTGACCATATTCCGCATGGAAGCCCAGCGGAAGGAAGGCAACATGAGGCTCTGTCATTCTCCAGGAGATCTTGAAAGCTGCAGAAAAAAGAAATGAGAAGGGCAGCCATTAGGGAGAAGAGCAAGATACATGTGTAGAATAAATGCATATTAATAAAAAGGTCTGCCTCCTGAGTCACTGTGCTTCCCATTTCGATTTCTGTATTGGCATGTGGCAACCGCTGTAATTGCTTGCATTAAAAAGTAATACCAGGGATGTAATATATTTTTAGTTCTCACTACAGCAATTTATCAACTAGGAATGGGAAAAAAGTTAGCACTGTACTGTTAGCCAGTTTTCTAAAGACCGTCTGAGATCTGTGGTCGTAATTTTGGAAACCTTTGGCAAGAAACCTTGAAGTACAACAGGGATATTTCTGAAATTTCCTTCAGAGATGTGTACATTTGTAGCTGATATATTTGTTAGTTGGTACATGTAGATCTTTCTGAAATCTTCCGTCATCTCACAAACCAACTTAGATTTTCCATTTCCATTTTCACTTGGTAGGCTTCCATCCCGTTTCCTAAGCAGGCAAGAAGTTTTTCTTTGCTTTCAAGATTGTGCGCTGGGGAGCTTCACGTGTTAAACGTAACTTCACTGCCATCAACCTTTGGAGACATCTTAGAAGTGCATTAGCTCTCCTACACATTTGGTTTTCTACTGGTTGGGAAAATAGCAGGTTAAAATAAAAAAACTGAAATGCATCTCCTGCATGGAAAGTGAAAAATGTTAAGAAATAAATTGCTGGTGTTCTTTTATGCAAAGAAGGATAAATTTATGGAAGCTGCACTGAAATGGGTGATGAAATTTCCTGTATTGTAATTTTAAAATGCCAGAACAGGAAGAGACCTTCAACACTGAGTGGTGTCCAAAGTTCATGACAGGTTCTAGGCTAAAGAGCTATCAGTTGTTTGCATGCTTAAATATCTAATTTATTAAGGAGCTGGAGGAGGGTTGACATCACCATTCTAAAGCTTTTCCTTCTGAGGACAGTCTGAGGTGTTCAATCCGTATTTTCAGTGTTCTGGCATTTCATCATTGAAGGGCTAATGTTCTTCGGCTGTTTTCCTGAAGAAATGGAGGCTATTGTAAATTTACATTGTTAAGACTAATGAATATAAAGCCCGGTGCAAGGAGGATTTAATCATGGAGAAATGCCACCATTCTAAGCCTAGCACTCCCTGAGAATGGGAGACCATCTGATGTATTTCATTATTGTTATGAATCTTGTTTATTGCTTACCTGTGCTGCAGCTGTAATGAGACCGACTCTGGAAAAGCATCACAAAACAAATATCTAAATATGGTCTATGTGAAGAAGAGGGTGTGCAGTGGCCTGAAGGGGAAAGGAGAGACAAGAATTCCCAGTTCATCTCCAGGAGGCCCTGTCTCATGAGCAGGAGCAATACCAGTAAATAGGTTTAGAGCAGGAAATGTATCTCTGCATCCTTTACGGAAAGGAAAAGTGTGAGCGGGGAGAAGTGAGGTGAAAAATAGGGAGAGGGAGTACTGGAAAACTCCCCAGGTCAAAACAATAGGAAAAATGGCAAAGAACTGCAAGGAAAGACTGAAAAAAAAAAAAAAAAAAGCCAAACTATATAACCAGACTTTTATTTTTAAAAAAAAAAAAAAGTCATTGAGACCAAAAAGAAAAAAATCAAGCAATGCAGAAGTGGAGAAAAAGACAGATTTGGAGAAAAGATATTGATTTAGCTTTAGCCTGTGCCTCTTTGTGAAACTTGAGTTTAGAAGATCTTTGGTAACCAGATCAATAAAATCTTTAAAATTGTTTAATTAGATTGAAGGCCAAAAGATAAACTCTTGTGATAAAAACTTCTGCCTTTATTTGACAGAACAGGAGTAAAAAGTGTTCGCTGCTCATTTACCTTCCGATTGATTTTCCTTCAAGCTAAGAAAAAACATGCTACATTTGGACAGAAGAAGGCATTGATGTACCTTCTCCTGATTTAGAAATGTAGAATACAAGGCAATGGTCGCGTAAGGGTAATTAAAACTATAGAACAAATGACAAGCCTACAAAGATTCAAGGGGAAGCAAGTTTATATGTATGTATGAGACAAAACTGCCGGCAATTACTGTCCAGCAATACTAGCTATGAAGGATGATTGGCTTTATTTCCAGTTGCTACAACTACAGAATTTATTTCTTAATTTGATGCTTACCTCAAATGTAGTTTATTTGGGTTGTTCAGGTGTTAAATCAGAAGCATGCTGCATTTAAATTTACCTTTTTGGGTGTACATTATATTTTTATGAAAATAAATCAGTGATCTCAAACACTTACAGTGTTTTTCAAAGTACTGTTTTATTGCTTTTGTGTTTTACATTAGTAAACAAGTAATTATTTACATTAATGTCACCATATTAATTTTCTTTGGAAAGAAGCAAACATCACTGTACATTTATCGGGCTATAAATCTTATATGTTGTTTAGTGAAAATTGACTCTTCCGCCTATAAGATACACCTTTGTAAACAAAATAATGTCACTGATAATAACTTGGTTTTATCTGAATATTAATTGTATGTGCCATTAAGCTATTTTCTCTGAAGGGACTTTGTCTTGCACCTTTCTAAAGCTTGGTTTCGTGCATCATAATTTCAAGTAGTAATTCTTGAGTGCTAAACATGAAGTAAATAGAGCACTCCTACACCATCATACATAAGCTTTAAATTACATAGGGATGAGCCTCGTGGTTTTAAAAGTGCTCATAAAACAGTTATTCGTGCTCTGTTACTCTACTATAATGTCGAAAGGTCACAGAAATTTATATTTTTACATTAAAATATCCAAGAGAAGGTCATGGAATCTGATCTTTGCTGTGCTCTGGGAGTCAGCAGAGGTGGATCGAAAGCTTTTTCAGCCCTCAGCTGAGTAAGCTGGGAGATTCTGGGTTCATTTGGGTTGAGTTTCATTATTTTTTAAGAGCATGGGCTTTTCTTCCACCTGAGTGTCAGGCTTCTGGAATAAAATTTCTGTTCAGACATGGTTTTTAGTATCTTCCCTTCACAGTTGCTTGGTCTTTAGTATTTCAGTATCTTCTATAGTATATCATGTTATAATAATCCACAGTGTCTTGAGCAAAAATAGAGTAGGAAATACTTAATTCAGGAGGAGTGCCTCTGTTTTGCCTTATGATTTGTTTTGCAGCTGACTTTTGATAAGGACTGGTTCATACTTGCAGATTTTTAGAATTGGTTTTGAGTGTGTGCTTGTCTGAACTTTTTATTAATTCTCCTCTTCTTTTCTTTTGCAGATTACAGATAGAAGAATCTTCTAAACCTGTAAGGCTATCACAGCAGCTGGACAAAGCCGTAACCACGAACTATAAACCGGTGGCTAATCATCAATATAATGTAAGTAGCTTTCAGTATTTTCCCATATTCTCCTAGCCAGGAATCTAGGACTCCAGAATCGCTCTGCTGCTGTCCTGCAGCACTTTTTGCTCGCAGTTGGCCACTGTCTTTGGAAATGTTCCATGTTATCTGGTTTCTCCCTGATTTTGTCTTCTGGGGATCTTCTTTCTGTCTCAAGACCAACATCACCCTTGGGGCTAAGGTCTGCCAATTCTAACTCTCTTGTGTTACCTGATGGAGGGCAGACTGCCTTTACCCAAGTCTTTTCTAGTGTCTTTATTACATTCTTCCTCTAGTCTTCTTTTTAAAATGTAATTTTGAAATCTGGGGATAAAAGGCAGTTCTGGCTTTGTGCTATGAGATGTGGAAGCACTCCTTTGAGCCAAATAAAATATCATATGGAGGTGGGTAAAAGACTTGAAAAGAATCATTAGTTTCTAGTCCTTTGCAGGAACTGACAACAAGTAGAAAAGAATAACAGCTGATAATTTTTCACAGTTTCATACCTTCATAGTACGTGTTATTTGCATCATTAGCTTTGTCAATATTACACCCACACTGCTGTTCCAGATCAGTTGATGTAGGTACAAACTATAATGTCCTTTTTCTTAAAGATCCTCTTTGAGTAATTTGTATGTATGCCTATATAATCTCTGTTACTGTTGAATGTGAGAAATGTTAAGTCATACTGAAAATGAGTCACTGTGTTAGTCATTTAAACTTTTACACTTTTTATTAAGATTCTATTTACATAAAACAAAACGACAATATACTGGATGATATTTAAGCATTATTCTGAAAGGCAGTCTATTTCCACAGAACCAAAAATAATTGTTTCTCTCTCATGGGACTGTTTTGTAGTAGTTACTGTTCAAAGTCTGATCTATACATAGATGATCATACCAATATAACTATTTCAGCTAAGGGAGTGACATTTAACCAAAATAGTCACACTGGTATATCCTGCTATGCAAATGCAATTTTATATGAGTATATTGTTTTATGATGCTACTGTTACTCTCCTTTAATTCTGGAATAAGCTACAGTGATGTACAGTGTCTCTTTTTAGTGGGATTCTGTGCCATTTCCCTGACATTAGCATAATTACAACAGTATGACTTTATCCTGGAGACAATCATTGAGTCTTTATTCCAGTTGCAAACTGTTGTCGTATCATTACAGAAATTTAAGTCTTGTGTGAGAATCAGGGGGTATAACCAGGACATAACCAGGCTTCTTGAAAGTTATGATGCTTGTGTCCTCATTGTAATGTTTTTAGTGGTTACATAGCTGTCCGTGCTAATGGAAATCCATTGGCAGTGTGTGTACTTCTCATGTCTGCCTTAAAGGTGTTCTGATGGGACAAAACTAGTAGGACATACTTATACTTGAGTCACTCTTGGCCATCGCTTGACTCTAAAGGCCCAGGCACGACTACTTTCTACAACACCTTTCTTTTCATTAAGTCTTTTATTAAGGTTCAGGTTAGATGGCTGAAAGGACGTACGACTGGGAGAACATGTCCGTGAACTTTTTAAACCTCTTGGTTACATTTTTCTGGTGTTTCCAAGCAGCAGTTGCTTTCTTAAAACTTGCTGTATTGCTTGTAATCATAAGACAGCCCTGTTGGGGCTTTTCATAAGAAAGAAGAAGAAAAATGTACGAACTACCGTACATGCTGATGCATTCAGTCATCTCCAGGGGAGTTTCTGAGGAAAGAATGAGGATCTACTAAGAAAGGAGTAAAATTTCCTGAAGAAAAATATGATAGAATATTAAATGGGGCTTAAGTGTGGCTGGTCCACGTACCCCTAAATGAACATACAACAGGAAGGAGGATGGAAAGAAATTACACGTGGATGGGAAATAGCAATAGCTTGTTGGAATACAAGGACAGAGAAACTGATTTTTTTTTCCAAGAAATTGTATTAAACCCAAGTTTTTATTAGAAGAAATTGCAATTCCATTGCAATATATGCCAGGATTATAACTTAGCTTTTCTTCTCTGGGAAGGGGACCTTCGTTTTCTGTGTATCTGTAGATGATACACATCTTTAAAAGGTTGCAATGTTAATGTTCGTGCAGCTGGAATCTTTCTGTGACTTCGTTATTTTTCGTAACACAGCAGAAAAGTTCTCTAGTGATCCTGGTTACCTCTTCAGAGGCTTCTTTGTGGTCTCCCCACTCTCCCGTACTATAGAGGTTGGTACCCGTGCTCCGGGGGATGGGAAAACCTTTAAGACTTCTTTCAGACACCTTCAGATGAAACTTTAGATTTAGTCTCACTTCTCTATCACCTTTGTCTTAGCTGTCTGCCAAAGCAGTGTAACGCATCGGCTTCAGTGTTTGTGATACCTTCAAGAAGGCAATTTTGGCAGCTTTTCAGCAAGCTTAGCAACATACTGGGAAGGTAAACAAAGAGAAATTCATTTTTGTATGAAGTCTTACAGTGATAAACTTGCAACTTCTACACTCGACAGCTTGTTCTAAAATGGTCCTTCCTTGAAAGCAAATCCTATTTTAACGCTTTTTAAATTTAAAAACTGCACAATTATAAATAAATCTAATTAGTTTACAATGTAGATGCGTTCTGTATTATGACTCTCAAAAAGTGCTTTAAGCCTACTGCATAAAACATCCAGTTTGCAGAGAAAACGGGAAGGGAAAAAAATGAAAGGCTGCATTGTAACTTGCTATGAGCAGTGTATTCACAAGACAAAAAGAAGAAAACAGCAACAGATACCATGCTTTTTTTTTTTTTAAATAGCACTTCACAATGCGCTCCATGTTTTAGACAACAGTGGGAGCTGTGGCTGAAGTTGGAGGGAAATGCTGGAGTGTTGCTAATTAAAATGTGGGCAACTGGGACGCCAGCTGCAAATAACTTTTCAACAAAGGGAGGGTTTGATATTCAGTTTTCTGTGTGAGTTGTTTTTATACATTAATGAATTAAGAATATTAGAATATTCACATTGCATTTGTATAGGGAATACAAACACTTCTCCTTGATTTACTTTAGCTCATCCAGAGAATGTAAAATAGAAGCTCCTACTGGGGAGAGTGTACCAAGGCACTAAAATAATAGAGAAAGAAGAATGCTAGGCATTACAATTTACTAGCAAAAAAAAAGATTGTGCTTTGGTTAAAAAGACTACTTCATGTTATTTTTCAGGAGACTGTTATTCGTATAATTAGGATTTTATACCCAGTCATGAAATAGTCCTGTCAGAGACCTAACATCAGTGAAGATAATGTTGAGAATTTCCTTATTGTTACTTTGTTCCTTTGTGTAGGAAGCATCAATTTTAAAGCGAGTAGATTTTTTCTCCACATGGAGAGAGTTGTAGCTGCTAGCTAGTTGCTAGCTAAGCACATTTTTGCTGTATGTTGTTTGAAGAGGTACAAACGGTACCATAGATTTTTTTGTTGTTGTTCTCAGAGATTGTCTTGAGAGTCCCAGTAGCTTTTCCCATTACGCCTACTTACCCATTATTACCCATAGTTCTGCCATGTACAGAAGGAATAACCTCAGTGCTTCACTCTTGTTGTTGCTCCTTAAAACCAAAACAAAAACCAGAAAAGGAGGAGATGGGTTTCTTCCATCACTTCAGCTTGACCTTCCACCCGAGGATATTGCAGTTTGTTTCTGTTTCTGTTTTTCTTCTTCTTGTTCATTTTGGTTTTGTTGTTTGGGGAGTGTGCTGGTTTTGGCTGAGGTAGAGTTGATTTTCTTCATAGTAGCTGGTATGGGGCTATGTTTTGGATTTGTGCTGGAAACAGTGTTGATAACACAGGGATGTTTTAGTTACTGCTGAGCAGTGCTCACACAGAGCCGAGGCCTCTTCTGCTTCTCACCCCACCCCACAGTGGGGGTGCACAAGAAGCTGGGAGGGGACACAGCTGGGACAGGTGACCCCAACTGACCAAAGGGATATTCCATACCATGTGACGTCATGCTCAGCATATAAAGCTGGGGGAAGAAGGAGGAAGGGGGGGTCGTTTGGAGTGATGGCATTTGTCTTCCCAAGTCACCATTACGCATGATGGAGCCCTGCTTTCCTGGAGATGGCTGAACACCTGCCTGCCGATGGGAAGGAGTGAATGGATTCCTTGCTTTGCTTTGCTTGCATGCGCGGCTTTTGCTTTCCCTATTAAACTGTCTTTATCTCAACTCCCGAGTTTTTTCACTTTTACGCTTCTGATTCTCTCCCCCATCCCACCAGGGGGGAGTGAGCGAGCGGCTGGGGGGGGCATATTTGTCAGCTGGGGTTAAACCGTGACAGGGAGGTAGCAAATTGCAGAAGGGTTGGTAAGAACAAGCATAATAGCTGCTGCTGTGGCAGAGTGATGCAGCCTGTAACTGGCTGTCTTTATCTTTCACACCGCATCTTTCAACTGGTGGTTTTGAGTCAGAGAAAAGTTGCTAACCTTAAAAACAAATACATAGGTAAGTGACCTCAAATGTATGCAGGAACCCAGAACTCAGTCAAGCTTTGCAAATAGAGATGCCTTCATTCCTCCTACTATCTTGTGGACTTGGCCTCTAAAGTATTGGAGGCTTTTCTGGCAACAAATTAATAATCCATCTCCTCCTCTTGTAAAATGTTAATGTGCATATATTCAAAACATTATTAAGTCCCCAATCCGAGTCTCCCATAAGCCAGCGTCTCAAATGCAGTAGGGTTCTGTTGAAAATCCAGTAGAGTGTTGTTTACCGGTATCAGCCATGACCTGATAAGCAGCTGCACAGAGAAACTGGAAGATTCTGTAGATCCCTGAGTCAAAAAAGGCTGAAAACTCAGGCTCAAGAAAGCCCACTGCATGTGATTATAGTGACTAATTAGAAAACTCTGCTTCCAGGAGAACATAGTGTCAGTGTCTTGATTTTTGAAGAGGATCCCATAAAATTGTAGTTCCTGCTTTCCTTCTTATGTGGAAGGAAATGTACAATATATCCTACGGGACGGTAATTCCCGTGTTTGACTATGAAATACCAAAGAGAAAAAATCTGGAGCAGATTTCGGACAGGACCAAAAAATATTTGTTGTATTCAGCTAGATTAGATTATTTTTAATAATGTTTGGGTTGCTCTTGTTGACTCATTTTCTTCTGAAAACACAATGTAACATGGCGCTGTCTGCAACTTTGTGCATGCCAGGTAATTTCTCTACCTTGGTTTCTTTCCCTGTAAAATGATGATACTGCCATAATTTGTGATGATCTTACTCATTCGTTTCTTTGAAGCATTGTCAGTCTCATTACTTATGGGACAGTAGATTTGCCCTTTGACTCTCTCCAGCTTAAAAAGCAAAGAAGCAGTTTTCAAATATAAATAATATTAGAAAATAGAAACCAAAATTCTTGTAGACGGAAGTACGGCTTCCAAAATTTACAATATAATGGGATTCTGATCATAACAAGTGTTTTTTGATGCTAGCATGAAGTATCAACTTTAGACTGTAGCCTGAGATGTGACATACTCGTGTATTTTTTAAGACCAAAGGGACAGCTACCATACTAAAATAAATTTAAAATGCATGTCTTAAACCCTGCGTATTTCACTGTCCTTAGGATGCACCCACGTCCTTGCAGCAAGTCCCTACACCCTTGCACTGAGTTAGAACATGACAGTGGTAGTAGATGATTGCTCTGGAGAGATGGTTTCTCTGTCAGGAAAAATATAAGTGCTCATCATATACCTTAGTAAGTTCTGACTTAAGCCAGGTGTAAATTAAAAGCATTTTTAATGCCGCAAACTGACTAGTGTCAGATCAGATGAACATAAGATGCGAAGAACTTTTTGGCAATCATGAACAGTCGATTTAGTGTATTGCTTATCTTGCAGGTAGCAGAAGAGACAAGCACTCTCACACATCTCCTGTTTCATCCTACATTTCATGCAGCAAGGGGCCAGTCTCCTCCTACTTCCACTCTTGTATCGTTTCTTTTAGTGCTTCATACAGAAACCCTTGCTCACCTATCAGGACATGGGCAGTTCTATAGGTCATGAGAGACTTTTAGATGAATGAGATTTTCCCTACTTCTCCAATACCTGTATGACTATGTGAGTATACCCAGTAGAGAGCTGGCCAATTGCTTTGGTGGTGGAGTTGCAAAGCAGAGCACACCTTGACCGTGCTGCTTGGTATTTTGGGCTTGTAGTTTTGAAGAGTGTCAGCTGAGTAGACTTGTTCGTATATATTTCAATGCCATTGCAGTTCTACTTCATGTGTTTACGACTAGATGCAGTCTGCTTGCATTATACTGCATAGTGAGACTATACTGGTAGAGAAATAGAAATTGAATCCGCAGGAGGGCTTCCAAAGCTTACAATTAAAATCTTTTCAAGGTCAATAGAGGTTCCTAATGAATTGTCTGTTGTACTTTCAGAAGAAGCAGATGTTTTGACACACTATTGTTAATTGCAAGGCCAATATCCTAGATGTATGTTCCTACTCTAGTTTCTGTAGCATAGCAGTTCTGCTGTAGATCATGGCAACAACCAAGATGATGTACTGTGAAGCTGTTTTACTTGATGCTACAGTTGGCTATTGTTGCAAAGCTATTACTGTTTTGAAGATTATTTTTTTTTTAATGCAGAGGCTAAAGAGCTGTAGCATAGCAGTTCTGCTGTAGATCATGATGGCAACCAAGATGATGTACTGTGAAGCTGTTTTACTTGATGCTACAGTTGGCTATTGTTGCAAAGCTATTACTATTTTGAAGATTATTTTCTTTTAATGCAGAAGCTAAAGAGTTAAGTAATTACACCAAAGTGTATTAGTGGATAAAAATCAATTGTGTGGGTTTGTGTGGAGAGGTTGTATCTTTCATAACACTAACATACAGTTGGAAAAGCAGACAAGTATTTGGTTGCCCAAGCCCACCTTAGATTTTAAGCAGAAGCAACAGACGTCGAGCTACAGGTTGGGAACAATTGCTCTGTGCTCAATTTAATGATGTACATCTGTTTCAGGATTTGAAAGAGAGAGTTGGCTAGCCAGAGACCTGTGAGCAATGGCAGAGGTGGTAATAGTCTTTAGCCACTTTGGGACAGATTCCTAGAGACAGGCTATTTTCACTCAGAGAGTAGGAGGGAGTTAGCTGGCAAGGAAACACAGGAAAAAAGAAATTGTGCCATAAAACTAATCTCTCTTCTTAAAAATAAGATTTTTAGTATCCACTAGAACTGTGAATTTTCATTTCTAGGCTTCTTCTCTGAAGGTCTTCCTTTTGAGGATCAGGTTTGAGACATCAGAGGCAGAACGACTCCCATACAGAATTATCCCACTGGCAGCCAGGCGTGTGTCCCTTATTGGTCACGTGCATCTCTTCTGCTGTACGTGGTGCTACTTGGGATTCACTGACGCAGTTTGCCTGAAAGCACTTGATGATTACATGAATTGTATTACCTTCTGGGTCACCTTTGTTGGTTCCAAGGAGCTTGATGGGTGGTATTGGGGGTGGATGGGGTGATGTGCTGACAGATGTTGCGGTAGGTGCTCTGCAGTGATTGGGGTTTGTTTGGGGTGTGCTGGTCTGTACAAATCTTGCTTCTGATGATGGATCTGAGGAAATACAGGAAGTATTTTTGGAGGCGATAACAGTTTCTGCAAAAATATATGGTCGTTTTGTGCAGATTATAATAGTTAAGTACTTTTTAATATGCATTCTGAAATAGGATGATGTGTGACAACAAGGGGCCTCTATTTGCTTGAAAGGTTTTTTTCGGACTACCACAAATTTGTGTGTGCTACTTAGGTTTCTCCTGAAAAGGTACCATCCGCTTCCTCAAAATGTGTCTTCACTTGGTGAAGACAGGTTTTATATTGATGGAGTGGTTGCCTTGAGTGCTGTTTCTGGAGCAGATGAGGCACTGTCCAAGGGCCGTTTGAGCATCCTTTGGGCAGGTGGTTGTTATGATTGTGGATGTAGCCATGTTGGTCTGTGGATTTTCTCGAGTATGGCAATTTGTAGGTTGTTTGATATTTGTCATTATACTTAAGAAGCTGATATCAACAGAGATGGAGTGAAAATACCATCTCAGTTTGGATTCCTGTACTAATATTAATTCTCTCTCCAGGTTTGGGCACATCATGCAGGCTCTGCTTCTGGGGTTTTATACTGGTTAAAGCAGAGTAACATATCTGAAAAGCTTATTGTGCTGAGGGCAAAATACTTAGTTTATGTTCATAAAAGAACATTTGAGTACTCAAAAGAAAATTTCCAGGTGAAAAGCAGTGAGTCATTGAACAGTGTTTTATTAAATAGAAGAGCTTTTTTATGTCTTAATGTTCAGCCCTGAGAATTATACACCGTTACATATGAATGTCTTTAAAATGTGTTTTGTATCTGATAGATTGAATATGAGAAGAAGAAGAAGGAGGATGGAAAACGGGCTCGAGCTGATAAACAACAAGTGTTGGACATGCTTTTTTCAGCCTTTGAGAAACATCAGTATTACAACATTAAAGACCTGGTGGACATAACCAAACAGCCGGTGGTACGTACTAGTAGTCTTGTAATATAACCATTTTCAGTAGTTACGATTGTGTACATGTTCCATATCCAGAAAATAGTTTAATATATACTATATGCCTTTGAAACAGCTCTCTAAATATGTTTTACAACAAACAGAAATCATCAAGTTTTAAGTTCACCATTGTAGGACTGTGTAGGATATGAAGCATTGCAGTATGCTTTTTCTTGACAGAGGTGATTTAAGTAACCTAAATGGTCTCTTTCTTATTTAGGTTTGCTTTAATACTAGAAACCAAATTCTGTTATCGTCTCCCATGCTACTCCTGTCATCACCGAAGTAACAGAGTAGTTCTGTTGCTGTTGGCAGTAGAGAGCTTGTGGAAGTGAGTGGTCAGCCCTTCCTTCAGCTTCTGAACTTTATCTTGGCAGAGCAACAGGGGTTACTTTTTTTCTGTGGGTCTAGAAAATAGTTTCATTATCCATGTTAGGAGCTCAGGCACCATGTGTAACACCCCCAAAATCACTTGATATCCTTTACAAATAGAATAATTTTTAGACTAAGTGTTTAGGGGTTTGATATTTGGGATTTATTTTGATTTTTTTAAACACTGTTTCGATACACAAACCTGCAGACGTGTGCTTACATGATGGTTTTGTTATCCTGCAGTGTTTGCCAGCCCCTTCATCTATGAACCCTAACTTTCAGTTCTTTTCCTTCTTCCCCTGATCAAGCTTTCCTTGAGCAGACCAGGCGGGAGCGGGGGGAGACAATGACACGTGAAGTATCTTTGGTGCTTTTGATGTTTTTCGCTGCTGACTTCGATATCTATCGTCAACCCAGCTGCAGTTTACAGAAAACTTAAAGGGACTTAGTTACGTTTGAGTCTAGATGGAGCAACAATTTCAAAAGTTGTTAGAGCTAAGGCAGAAGAAGGAACAGTGACAGCTGGATTATGGAAAAAATTATTCCTCTGTAAAAGAGGGGAAAAAATGGAGATGCTTGCTAGTTTTGCTCACTTCACGTTTAGAATTAAGTGGATCCATATCAGAGGATTTGTGTAGGGTGCACAAGCTGTTTGGTTAAGAAGCTGCACAAAGATGTTAACCAATTCAAATACACGTAGGTTCATGGTGTTCTAGTACCTTGGAAGAAAGTAGTTGGATAATGTATTCGTGTCTTTTCCATTCATTTATCTCGTAAGTCAGCTCCTTATCTGTAAGATTTTTTTTGTAAGAGATAGGTGTGACAGTCACTATCTCAATTCCTTTGAATGTAAGTAGGTGCAAATTCATCCCGCCTAGCATGATTTCAGGCAGAAATAGTCACCCACAACTCCCACTTAAGCCATGGGAGAACAAAAGTTTTCTTCCTCCTGTGATGTGATTTACCTCTTGAATGTACCTGTCTCTCTGCATCAACTCAAAGGAGCCTGGAAAAGCTGTGCTTCTGACACAAGTTTCTTCATTAAGCACTAAAAGTTGGGCAAGATTAATCCAATTTTTGTGTTAGTTGCTGCCCTAAGGATTAGATGTATAGGGTAGTTATTAGATTAGATGTATAGAGCAAAATACCTCACATGAATACTTCTGTTACATTTATGATGAATTTCTATGCCTGTCTATATATCTCTGCTGTCATCATATGCTCCTGAATATATTCTGCCCATAGCATAGTAGATCTCTGCTGTGTACTTTCATCTCAGCAAATCTAGCCTCTTTTTCAACTATTGTAGTAATACAGATGTTAAAAGGCAATTGTAGACTAATTTGACCCAACATCACATGTTATTTGGGCTATATTTTTGCATCTGTGTCTTTTATTTGAGTCTCTCTACTGATGGCTAAAAGTCCTGTAGGGCTCCTGAGATTAATCAAACTATTAAACCCTCTTCCCCTGAGTGGGCTGTGCAGTCTCAGTTTCGAGCTGTGTGCAAGAGTTAGGGGTTTCGTCTTCATTCCCAGCCGGGGTTTTGCCATAGGTGTTGGTGCCTATCCAGCTTCCTCAGACTCAGATATCCTGAGAAAATAAATGACCAAAATCCTCTTCCTGATGCCTTTCTTCATTCACTGCGTAGCCAGTATGGGGATAAATTCAAAACTATCTTTCAGTACGTCATAGAATCATAGAATCATTAAGGCTG